GAATGGTTTCCTCCGTCGCGGGAGCAGCGGGGCCATCCAGCTCCACGACGTCACCCAAAGTCCAGGCAGCGGCCAACTTGGGCAGCGGGGGCGGCACCTCGACCTTTTCCACGCCGTGCCTCGCGATGGCGCGGTGACGGATGGTGAACGCGACACAGAGCGCTATGATTTAACGATGAGTAAGTACGGATGGCCATCCGGGCCAGCGGAACCAGCTCACAGGTTAGGATCTCTGTAATGGGCAAGAACAGAAGGATTCCGAGGGGCGCACATGTGAGGGACCGGAAGGCTGCACGCGTGCAGGAAGACAGCATCGCTGAGAGTGGTTCCGAGTACTCTCTGAATCCCGAGAGAATGACAAGCACTAACTGTAAATTCAGCAGCGAAGCCTTCCTGGAATTAATTTGTTGTGCACGCACTCGTGGTGGTCCTCCCCACCAGCATGGATACAGACCAGAAATGGCGCCCAGCATGCTTGAGGTGCACGCGTTCCGAGCGGAACACGTGAATCCTTGATTAGGAACAATTAATGCAGGGAAGAGAGATGGGGGTCAGTGCGCGCACAGGAAGAGCCACATAGCGAAGCTGAGGCTCGCGTCATACGACATCATGCCGAGGAATTTGCGATAGGCTGCATGGAAGACATGAAAAATACGCCAAATATCAAGAGGATTTGGCGCACTAAGTGCCTTTGTCTCGCCCTCCATCGGCGTGAGAGTAAATACCCACCAGCCGAACACCGACCGAATGACTGAAAGGGCGAGGCCAAACTCTTCAAATCACAGCAAATCAGTCTTGATGGTACGTCGAGCGTGGAACACCGCCCACTGTAGAAATTGGAGATCAGCATACGGGCGGTTCGAAAGAGCGGCGTATAATCTGATTCAACCGTGCCAGCCTTTATACATACATCAGCAGTTACGGCAGGGTTATTCATCGCACGCCTGGCATGCGATACATCGCCTATTTTCGATGCCAACAGCCAATCTACCGCTGAAGTAATCTGAATTGAATTGAAGCTAAAAAGAGCAAGCAGGCCGATGTCGGGGCTGTTGGGGCTTCAGAAAAAAAAAAAGCTTCTAGTTTGAGTTTAAATTCAACCAGGTTTTGGTATCTTGATATCGGGGCCGGCTGACGCCAGTTTACCTGCGCCCCCACACAGCCGCAACGTACGGATAGACTTCGTTCAGCGTTCGTCCTGCCACAGGAGCGCTTAACGAGCCACATAGAAGTTGCATGTGCAGCTCGTGAGTCCGGATTCGTTGGTCCAAGGTGAATCAGAGCATAGGAGGTATTGGTCGACAAGCTGGGGATCGCGAGAATGGAAAGGTCAAATATTCAGCTTAATCTGTAGTAATGCAGCCACACACTCTCGCACAAAACCACAGCGCACAGCATCCGCGTGTAAGGAACCCGTTCGAGAAAGCTCTGTTCGAGAAAGTGACACTATAGCCAAGTTCATGCAGTACAGTTCAACCTGAGCGTCGAGAGAATGCCATTTGCAATGCACACACAGGTCTTAAAAGACAGGAAAGGAAGGAAACAAAAGACACAAGAAAGGATGGGAGATGGAAGGAGAGAAGTAGGACACTCGGCCCGACCGATTGATGGCGGAGTTTAAAAATGAAGCGCGAACAATCAATCACCTCTCTGTTCGAGAGAAATAGCAGAGAATAAGCAAGAACATACTACATAAATTTGTATCGGTTATGAGCTGAACCAAATCATGGTTTGCGGGGAAATTCCCGTTCAGTTCTAGTGTCGCGGTGTAGGGGCTTTCGCTTTGCGAAAGTCAAGCGCCGAAAGTTCACGTTTTTCATATGGAATAAGTCTTCATTCACCGCCCATCATCCAGTGACAAGAATTCTAGGAGTCTGTGTCCTTTTAAACTCGAAACAATGCATTAATTGAACCAAAGTCACGTGGACTCGGAGGATGTTCAACTTGAACAGGTATAAGTAGTAGAAGCGCCGCGCGCGTCAAACAATCATCCAAGTCAAAAATTCTACACGGCAATGTTGTGGGAGAGGTATTTGTCGACATTGGCTGTAACCCTTGGGTCCACCTTGCCCAATATGTCCACCAGTTCGTCCCTGCAACCAAAGAATTAATCCCGAATACATAACAATCTTCCAGGGGACCAGACGAACCAGATGCGATCCTGCGCCTTGGCACCTTGTGCGCTGAGGACGTAATCGCTGACCTCCATCACTTTACAATCAGACGAAAACTCGCCCCGGAGTTTATCAGGCTGATCTGGATATGCCAGTGCCGCCCATACGAGGCGCCGGCTGCCCACCTCCGTCGTGAATGCGAAGGCCCGTTCCATGAGATAATCAAACACAACCATGAAACCCGTCAAGCCGCGCCGCAATTCAGAGTAACAGTAGCCCGGATCGACAGCGTTGACAATGAGCGGCGTGGAGGGCGGAAGCCGCGCGTTGAGAGCACGGACGAAGAAGACGTTGAGGACTGAAGAATTAATTAGTAGCTGGACGGAACCGAGTATTGAACCCGTACGCTTGGTGAGTGGATATCTATCCCCATAATCCTGGAGGTACATTAGTTGAGCTGCTTTAGGTATACCAACGAGCTGCATACTTCTTCGTACAATATTCTGCGCTTCCAATCGTCTTGAGTATATCCGGATTCTCGGCTACGCGTTTGTCGATCTCAGACCAATAGTGCATTCCGCTCGAAACGACTACGAGCCTGGGGGTCGTGGAATGCTGTTGGGCTGTTTTGATCATCGCCGGAAGGAGGAGGAAGGCCAAGAGTGGGGTGGAGAGAGCATTGACCTGGAGACTAGTACGCTATATTAGCACTGGCGTAGTGGTGGAATGGAAGAGCTCACGAGGCTTCCCATCCGTCCTTGGTGGCATCATAATCGAAAGTCGCGAGTGCCGCATTCTCGACGAGGATGTCGAGACGGCCCCCATCGCGCTCGAATTTATCTGCAAATTGCTTGACAGATTCGAAATCGGCAAGGTCGATGATCCACAACTCCGCCTTCGAGTAGCCCGTGGCGGCTTTCAATTCTGACGCGAAGACAGTTTACGACTAACGAAAGAAGAATAGAACGGCGTACTGTCCACGGCAGCCTGACCCTTGCTTTGGCTTCGGCAGGCGAGGATAAGCCGTCCTGGATTCATTGTGGCAAAGTGTTTTGTAGCCTCAAATCCGAGACCAGTGTTCGCTCCCAAAACGACGACCGTTTTCCCGGTGAGATCAGCTTTGACCACAGGCTTCTGCTTGCTCCATTGGCTCACGATAACAGCCCAGATTCCGAGACGCATGACGGTTGAGGAGAAAACAGTCGTGAAACAAGAACAGCGTAGTCGCCATTTTAAAGCAGGTGGAATCAAGGAACGATGAGAGAAGCCGCGCTGACGCGTCACAACGCGTTCTCGGCCAAAACGTGAGCGAGGACATCATAATTTATCCGATCGGTCAGCCTGCGTTACGATGGCCCGATTTATGGTCATACAATCTGAGAAAGAAGAAGGTATAGTCGGAGTGCGAAGACATGTAGAGGTGCAGCCCGAAAATCAGTATCCAGCTCGAATTCAGCAAGTTGTTGTGAGGAAAGGAAGTAATTTGAAGGGATTCATAATGCTCTGAAAGAAATCCAAGTTATTCTGCACACTGTATGCCGAACAAAAAGTGGTGTGGTCCAAAATTATAATAAGAGGCCATCGTAGGTACCCCAAGTAGGGAGACGCCAATAAACGCTCTGAGTAAAACGGAAGAGGGAATGCCTCTCGTACCCAAAGAGTCAGCAAATCCGAGTTTCCAACGATATGCTCGCGTAGCGGCGCTCCACCTTCCTACCGCTCATGGGCGGCGCGCGGGACATCGAACGCGTTGGATCGTCCTTGGAGCGTAGAAAGAGGAAGCGAGGAAAGATGGAACGAAAGGATCAAAAAAGATAACCGGAAAAATACGCTCCAGCAGATATACCGAATCAAGGATTGCAGACACTGACGACAAGACCGGCGATGGGACATACATTCTGCCGGCCAAAAGAGAGGAAGGAGAAAGCCGGTAATAAAATGCGAGGAAGGACGATCTGTGCATCAGTAACAGGTCCACGAGAACGAAGGCCGGGAACCGCAAAATACAACAGAAGACCTCGATGTCTGCCAATGCCTCGCAAAAAATCCAGACGTCCACGAGGGGTAGGGACCCTTTGAAGAAGAAAAAAAAACAGTAGCGGCGCACCTGGATGCTTCATTCTAGCCCATCCACCCACGCCATCCGCTAAACCCGTGGCTTTCTCCCGGATAAAGTAGGTATCCTCGCCGGACCGCAAACAGTTGCCGTTAGCACCGCCGGGACCCTCGACTTCAACGCGGGCCTCGGCCAGCAGAAAGTGGGTCATCAGGCGAGTTATGCCGCGAGGATTTGGCGGTGGCGGCGGGGCGCCGCGGGGGAGTATCGAAGAGAGAGTCAAGAGGGTAGTTGGGTTACTAAAGTGTAGAGTGCGCGAGAGGCTGGATTGGATCGAACACGGCCGACGCAGAAAATGCTAGTAAAACCGAGCGTGCTTCATTCCCAAAGGTAACAGACGCGGTCAAAGCAAGGAATCGTAATAGAATTGAGCTGGTCAAACAGAAAGATCGTTTCGGTTTATTCCGGAATCACATGTCACAATGACGTCTCATCTTCCCCGCATCTTCCCATCAGCCTTAGGCTGAAGGCGGCGTTTGCCTCTCGTTACTGTGCAGGGCTTGGCGCCTATCGATCCCCTTCTCATCCCTGCTTTCCTACCCGTCTGGGGTTGTCTGTGTCAATGGGACGTCGGCCCGAAGTTGAACTCGCCGCCTCATGGCCTCGTGGTGCGCCACTGCAGCAGTATTGCGGTAATACTGCCGTCAAGTGCTTCAATTTCGGTCCTCGACTCCTGCTGGTTTTCGTCGAAAAATGCCACAGAGCATCCGCAGACTTACCATCAATCAAATAACGAGTACACCCCGGAACAAGCTGCCAGTGCAGACAACGGCCTGGTGTAGCGGTAACACGTCCTCTATTACTGCAGCCGCATCCTGTTGGAGTTTATGAGGATGTCCCTTGTTCGAGTCAAGGCCAGGCCGTTTTTATACTGTGTTGAACTTTTTTATGTTAGTCTCTCTAGATCTGTCTGTCCTGTGGTTGACAAACCTTACGCCATGAGTTCCTCGCTCCTCTTACATACCTTTTCGATCCCGATGCTCGAGTTTTCGCTACTGCGCATGCGCTCGAGTTTCTCGTAAGGTTTTTTCCCTTCCGCCGTCCGAGTCAAGCGCGTCAAGTTTTTCGATCCTCCACTGTACCTTTTTCTCTCCAGCCGTAAAGTTCCTCGCTCCCAATCGTTCATGTCATCGGGCTGACACTCGCCTGTGTAGTTTTTTTTTCGAGTTCTTCGATCCTGAGCCAAAGTTTTTCACTCCTCGCTCGAGTTTTTTCGATCCAGCACTATACACCCAGGTTTTTCGCTCCTCCAAGGTGGCCAGCGCTCGCTGCCGCCCCCTTGCTCGCTGCTCGACGCGTCGGCCCGCCCTCAACTTTTTTTCCGCTACCGCCCGCGCACGCCTCTCGCACTCCTTATCTGTGACGTGCCCACCGCTCCCAACCAAAGACGACACTTTTCCGCGCTGCCCCCGCCCCTGCTCACACTGTGACACGAACCCCACAAGCCCGAACCCTCCCAGCACAAAAGATACAATCGAGGAGGTATTTGCTCAGGTCCGACTTCGATTGAGTCATTTGCACTCGAGTCCGAAGCACAAGTTGAACCAGTTCTAAACCAATCTTGATCAACGGCCTCGTGGGTAAGACGCCCTCCGCAAATTGGGCTGTCTGATAATTTTTACGAGGAGTGCCTTGTTTGAATCAGCGACAGTTGGGTATGTTCCCAATTTTGCCCGTTCTCCCGTTGGACGTTCGTTCTTTCGAAATCGCACTCAGTCGTTCTCGGATGGCTGAAGTACGTATCAAGTTCAACCCCGGGCCGTCCTCGGATCTCCAGGCACTGGAAGCTGATGATATCAAGATTGCGCTGGGGTCTAATAATCACACATAACAATTATAATGAGCACTGTACCCTCGTCGAGGAATTGAACCAAAGTCACGTGTTTCATGTTCAAAAAAAAAAAATCAATTGAAGCGCAAACCATTTACACGTTCAACCTGAACGAAATTTGACTGATCTGGGGGAGTGAAGTGAGCATGCTATCCTAGCAGTCTGAGTGGTAACTTACTGACTGATACTCCTGGGTACCCGGCACGAATCGCTTGTACATAGTTGTTCGCAGTTGCCTTTTAATGGCCTTTTTGGCCCTTTCATTCCCTGTTTCTAGAAAAAAAGTTGGATAACAATATGTATCCTATTCTAAGGTCTACGTTGTGCTAGTGTTAAAAATCACCAGGGCTCGTTCGACGAATGGCTACTGATCGGTGATCAATTCGTCAAATAATACAATAATCTTAAGGCTCTACAACGGATAGTAGAGTATTCAACCCTGCACCCATTCGAGAAAGAAAAAGGGAGCGGAAAGGAGCGAAAAGAGGAGTTTCAAGCCGGGGGTTTCATATAGGTAGAGGGTTTTTCACTTGTGTACCCTTTTTACATGTCGGAGTCGAAAAGGGACAAAGAAAATCCGATGGAATACAAAAAACAAGCGAGTGAGGAAGAAAAAGTACTGTGAACGACCGTCATATAAAAGTGAGATCTGGATTCATTAATATGAAATTAAGGCACGTAAGTTAGAAGAAGTCAAGAAGAATCTAGGATATAAACCATCAAGATGGACCAAGAAACCACTCGCTGCTAACAACCGAGAGCGGTAGTTTCAGTATCCTCAAACCATTTTCTGGGATCAATAATGTCGTTTTCTCTTCCTTCGAGCGCGGCGATGCGAGGGTGGAGGCATTTGAGAGATCATGGACCGCGATGTAGCGGCGGCCATCGAGCTCTTGTAGTCCGTGTCATTGAGATTGTGTTCAACGGGCGACAGCGAAAAGGATTGGTCAGTCGAAGACTGTCGGTTGATTTGCCGCATCGACTGCCGTTTATTTTGGAACCTTTCAACCTTGTCAATTTCGACTAGGGGGCATAAATATGAACAGTCACCAAATTTGTACACTCCTCGGCGACATGTCCAGAGCCATTGCTAGAGCGAGTCGTTCCCCTGTCGAAGGGAAGCCGTTCGCGCAAAGGTTTCATTGAGCACCCGCAACTGTGCCGCATCCGCCCGTTTCCGTTTCTTTTTGACGGCCGGCTCGTCGCTACCAATAGGAGAGACCGGAGGAGGTGTCGGAGGAGATCCATAGTGCGAAGAATTCCGACCGTAGGGCGATATGGCGCGAGGATCATTTGGCATCAGCTGCGGGCTGAGGGCCGACACACATCGCGGGTCGTTAACATGATATCCGTATGCGTTGGCAGAGGGATACGCTGTCGTGTACGATGACGGGTACGACGCAGTGGGAGAGCGAATATGGTTATTGGGAGATCTATTAAAGCGGGGGTCTGATAAGACGAGGCCCATCTTTCATCTCGTCCCGGGCCAGGAGTGGTGCTCAGCGGCGACAGATCAGATTGGTGCCCCGGTGCGACAGTAGCAGGTTGTTGAGCATACACAGCAGGGTAGGCCGGTTGCGCGGAGTACCGAGCTCATCGTAATAAGGAAACGCAGGCTGCGGAGCTGCCATCGCTTGAAGTGGGTGGGGTCAGTGAATCAGAGCATTTGTACAAATCCCCGACTCACGAGTATTGTTAGGCTGCCATTGATTATTGTACGACTGGTTGTAGTCGAATCGCCCGGGAAAAGCTCGGGGTTGTGAATATTGGCTGGGAACTGTACATCGTGTTTAGCAAATTGAATGTTGTAGTTCAAATACTATGCAGAAAACAGACCTGAGATTGGAAACGCTGAAGAAATGGCGGTAGAAGAGTCCGCCCACCCTGTCCCGTTGGAAAAAAACGCCGCTCTGGTCCGCAGCCGGAGTTCTTGCTCGATGGGATTCACCGTCAAGAGTGTCGCCTCTATCGTTGTTCGAAGCAGAGGGTGAAATTTGATTCGTGAATGGTTTATCTTCTACCTCAGAAATTGGTGTTGTTCGCTGACTCGACAGACCTTCTGAACCCGGCATCATATGGCCTGGCGCTCAGAGCAACCGTCTCTAACGGACTCGTGGGCATTGAGGGCGAATTAACGTCGCGGAAGCCGCACTGAAACCCATCGATCCTGTTCATCCGACTGGACCAAAGACCGGCAGACCAGGCTCAGTGACCGAAGACCGATGATCGCCGTTAAATTCTTCCTCGAGTGCGCTAGAAGAGTAGGTAAAGCATTGATACCTATCGAGTCATCTTCATCCGAGGATGCGATCCCCGGCTCAGAGATCAAAGACGATAATCGTATCAAAACTTGTTGAAGTATCTTCCGTAGTTGTTTCCGAAGGTGTTGCATGACGATTACGGCGCGGCAGAAAGCTGCGTAACCACCCTGGAAACCATGCCAGTGATAAAGGCTCGTTCACCTGTACCTTTTTACGCGGACTCGAGGACCATCGGCGAGCACTGAAAAGTGCACTGCCAATAGCCGTCCACCGAAAGGATACAACTTCAGTGTAAACGATGGTGGGTGCAACGTCGAGGTCTTCAACCCATTCATCCAACTCATCGCCGAGGCTCCGCAAGCTGATATCTGTATCCAGCTAAGTTGAATGTATGTACATGGACAAGGCAACTCACGATCGGGCTCGCGCGTTTGTCGGATCCCAATATCGTTGCTTCTACATTGGGATTGTCAACATTTTCAATTACAGAGTCATTGCTGACGTACACCATGGTCAAAACATCCAGTTTATCGGGTGTAGGGTCCGGTATAATATTCCTAACATCGGGACCAGTAGCAAGTGCCGAGGACGTAGGCAGAAGACGTTCAGCGCGGGGCCTGAAAAAAAATAGGTAAATCACGAATTCAATAGGCGAAATGTAAAGACATGCAGACGCAGTAATCGCACCATCTCGGTGAGACTGCGATACCAATATTGTGGTGCTGGGTCCGCCGTATGCCAGTCCAAGACACCAACCAATATCACGTTGGCCATAGAATCAATTCCTTCGTTGTCAAGAATGATACCATTCCTGATCTCGCTGTCACCCTCACCCGAATCCAGCCCGAGGTCAGTCAGAAGGCGCATTACACGGTCCAAAATCTTGGTGAATACCATGACATGTATTGCACCACTTTCTCGCCAGAAGGCGGGCAGTTCCAGAACTCCAACCAAATATCGAAAGGCAAGAGCATCAAAGATGGAACCCGCACTGTGCTTAAAGTCAGGATCAACAACAATGATTCTAAAAGACGTTAACATACCTGGATTCTGACGCAATCAACAGGCGCTCGATGACGCTGAGATTGCCGCTCTCCGTGTCGATAGAACCAAAGTGTCGGGGCGAAATATTCCCTAGAATTAGGGAAATATGCTGCTCAGAGAGACAAGCTGCCGCAAACCGGCAGTAATAATCCCATTCGTGAGGCTGCGTGTCATCCGCACGGGCCCAAACTGCAGAAATCAGCGCCTCTGTATTTCCGGCGCGTCGGAGGTGTTTGGATTTGAGGAAGAGCTCCCGCGTGCTATGGTACCGCGTTACGATCGTGACAACGGATTTGAACGCCTGAATCTGGCTCCCAGCCGTTTCACTCCTATGAAGTCGATGTTCAGCAAATGTATGGATGAAATAAAAGGCACTCACGGAAGCGTATATTTTATGAGCCTAGCACATTCATCCTCGAGCCACGGACACCCATCGACCTGCAACACTTCTAGCTTGGCCTCTCGACGCTGCCCCGTGCCAAAGAACTCCGCGATGCGGTCGGCCGTCGCGGAAGGACCTTTTCCCCAGCGATGTGCCGCGCGGTTGACCTGCATCCCGACGTAGTCCCCGACGTGCGAATAGACTTGGTTCAGCGTTCGTCCCGGTGCTGGATCGCTTAACGAGCCGCGGACAAGTCGCATCTGCAGCTCGTAAGCCCGTTGGTCCAGGTGAATCAGAGCCATGGAAGTATGGGAGCGGGGAACGCGAGAACGGAAAGGTTCAAGA